GGCAGGAAATCATCATCACGTGCTTTCAGATGGAGCAGAATTTACTACACATAGCCGTAGTTCACTGACAAGTTACGAAAAAAAAAAAACCTTCCCAGATATTTTTACTCCAAACTCCCTTCATAACATCAGTCGAGTGTTTGAAATAAATCCTTCTGTGAGATGTGGCTTCTTACACAGAATAAGGCACGCAACATATTTCATAGTATTTAAGCAGTGATAAAGGCATTGCATTATAAATATACTTTATTTTAATTAAAATTATAATAATAAGAAGAACTCAGATAAACCGTATATTGCCGTAGTCGTGTGTTTATTAGTCACGTTGAATCAATGAAAGCAGTTGAATCTTCTGTTTATTCAGCTGCAGCAATAGGCATTTTCTGGGTTTCTTCTGCGAGGCGTATTTGGAGTTCACTGATCACAGAACCGTGCTTCACTGAAAGATACGCATGACAAATCGCAGCTTCTGTCGAATCGCGATCTCGATTCCATTTCGATTTATCGTGCAGCCCTAAGGAAGACTGTGGTTGAAATTTTCGATTCTTTTGTAGTAAATTAAAAAATGACAGAATTCTCCAGTGATTTGTGCCCACAGAGCCAAAAATACCCTTAATTTAAGATCCACCCATTTCATATAAAACCAGGCATCAACATGAAACTTATTTCTGAATTCTGACACCTATTTCCTTCCAAAATAACATAGGACGTTGATATTGTCCATTGGGATTGATTGGATTGTGCAAAGTAGATGTTACATACCACGATGAAACCAAATGGTTGGAGAGGATGGGATGAAGAAATTAGAATTATTTGTGGCATCATCTGAAAAGGAAAGTCAAAGTTAGAACAAGTTACATTTTTAATCATGGAGACTGCTTAAATTAGGAAATTATTCACAAAAAGTCCTGGAATTAACATTGAATAAGTAATGGGGTCCATTCTGACTTCATGTTGACTTTCATGTTGGCCACAGTAGACTTTGGGCCCACCTAAACCACTAAACCTACCTGTGCCCATGTAAGTGTATTCTCACCTGTCACAAAGTACCAGTAGATGCAATATGACATGCCGAAGAGAAGCTCTCCACTGCCATCCTTCCCAGGGGGACTGTCTCATTTGCTTGAGGCTGCTGCCGCTAAGGTTCTCTGATAATAAAGGACAATGTCACAGCCCACACAGCTCCACTCCCCCACCCCAACTTTACACTCCTTCTTCACGACTGGACCCACCACTCAAATTAATCAGCCTGAAACAACATCATCCCCGGCAACTCTGTCACTGTGCAAGTAGACAGAGACGTTCCAGACGCTTCTCTGCTGCCCGTCCGGCCTGACTCATCATTAGTCTCAGCAGCCACAGCTGAGGCCGAGAGCTCCACCTGCCAATTAGGGGCACCTGTCCAAACACCGCTGCCAGTCATTCACCGTTCTCCAGACGCTTCTCTGCTGCCCGTCCAGCCCAACTCATCATTAGTCCCAGCAGACACAGCTGCGGCCGAGAGCTTCACCTGCCAATTAGGGGCACCTGTCCAAACACCGCTGCCAGTCACTCACAACTCACGGTGCGAACACACCCCCACAGTTCACATTGAGCCGGGGCACTTTGACATTCTTTGCTGATTTGGTCTGAGATTTTGCAGAGAATGACAATGTAATGGCTGAATAAATAAATGACTGGAAAGTGACAGATAAAACATTTAGCTATTTATAAGTAATATACATTGAGAGGTTTTCAAACACCTTACAGAAAGGTCATTAAATATCATGTTGCTCAATGTCATATGCTTACAGCGTGGCCCCATCTGTGAAGCTTGTTCTGTGCCAATAAGTGTGTCATTTAGATGACACTGAGCTGTAATAGTCGAGTTTCTGGTAAATCCTTTGACACATAGTTCTGTTAAGAGTGTTTTCATTAATGCTTGGAGCAGAGGCAATTTTGACTGACCTTAAATGTGTTTTTTAAAGGTTTGGGGAAGAATGGAATACATAAATAAATATATATATATATATATATAGCCTATATATTAGGGCTGGTAAACGATTAATTTTTTAAATCTAATTAATTACAGGATGTGGCAATTAATTATTCTAATTAATCACAAATTAATCACACATCAAATTTGGCTGAGAAATTACTCCCAGAAGATCATTTAAAGTCATTGTTGTGTAAAGCATCAAACGGACATTACAAAAAGTAGCTTCGGCAAGAAATATTTTGTTTGATAAAATGTATTACATATACTCTTTTGGACCATGAGGGTGAGTAAATGATGACACAATTGTCATTTTTGGGTGGATGAACTATACCTTTAATAATTTATTTTATACATTTTTATCATTACTATGGAAATCTGAAATTATTTCTTTAATTAAATGATACTCTAAATAATAAACTAAAACTGCCAGTAGGTGGTGGTAAATGTCTTAATGATGAAGTCGTCGAGTCATTTATTCATTCATTTTATTCATTCAAATGGCTGATTAAAGTAAATGGTTCTTTATGAATGCACTGTAAAAAGTGCTACACCCACGAAGTAGGTTTTATATACTTTAAATGGTTGTAATCTAGTTTATTTTATTTGTTTTATACAAACAAGTATCAATATACTTTCTCTTTACTTAAAATATATCAGATTTTATATAACAATATATTTTAAATAAAACTATTGCAATTTATTTGGGTAGTTATTTGTATGTGGTTGTTGTGTACAAGAAAGGTTATACAAATGAGTTAACATACACAATTTATTTGAGCAGCTGTCGATGTGGCAGGTGTGTTCATCAAACGTAAATATTTTACAATTTTTATAAGTTGGCATTATCCATTTTTCACTGGCGGGGACTTTCCCAGGCAGATGCAGCATCTTCCTCGGCAACTTTCAACTGTTTGTTCGCTGCAGCGGATCTGAATTTCAGGGACTGATTAACACGGTAAGTTGAGCAAATTTAGCCGAATGATTGGTGTTGTAAAGTCACGCGAAATCGCTTACTCCACTAGGGAGCTGAGGTTAGGTTTGCAAATTGTACTGTATAGCTAGCTATCCTGCACACATGGCAAGCTAAGTTGGCTGCACAGTGCTAAGCAATGTGGTCTTGTAGGCAACGATCGGCAGACAACGGTGGTTGAGACCGTGTTGTTAATATGAAATTATTTAAGTGCTGTAGTCATGCCTACTATGTGTTTTAAGGCTACGTTGGCTTTAATTTTACCAATAATATCACTTTTAATCGTTAGTTAGCGTTAACTTAAACTAGCGTAGTATTAATGTTAACGTGTTTTGTCTAGGAATTTTACCTTAGCGTTTAATGTCAAATATTAGTTTAAGTTAATGCTAACTAACGATTAAAAGTGATATTATTGGTAAAATTAAAGCCAACGTAGCCTTAAAACACATAGTAGGCATGACTACAGCACTTATTTAATTTCATATTAACAACACGGTCTCCGGTGGGGCATGCAGCTGTCGTGGGGTGCTCGCGTTATCAGCAAGCAGAGATGCTAGTGCATTTGATAGCACTGGCTCACCTGTTACTAGCAGCACGTGCTAACATCATCGCCACTGTAACAACATTTAGGATGGACGTGTTTAAAAACGCAGATACGTAGGTAATAATTAGTTGCACAAATGCCCTCAGTTATATTTTTAGATTGCACAGATTAAATTTCGGGATCATATGCGATCGAAACGGTCGCAATTTCGAGCCTTCAGGCAATAGTTGTGCGGGCAAATAAGGGAAAGTAAGATGTGGTGTTTTATGGACAGCAGGCAAAACAAGCTAGCCATGTGCCTTACATAGGTAAAATTGCTAACAATAGTGTGGGCTCCATACAATTACATTTCTGACGACCTTTTTATGTACCAACCACCAATAGAAGGCAGATATGATCACCTTTCTGTCTCCTCCTCCCCACAACAAACAGTGAACATCACCAAATAGAGCAGTTTCTTATTATCAGTCAGTCTTTCTCTGAGGCAGTTTGGTAAGCTGTCAGTTGCCACTAACATTTACTCAACTTTTTTTCTGTGATAATTTAAGATCCTGACATGTGATGACTAAAATCCTTAATCTAGTTAAATATACTGTAGAACTAAAAACTACCAGGCTTTAAAAAGTGTTTCATACAAATTTAACTGGAGAATAGGTCAATTAAATGTGGCTTCAGCAGACAACCACAACACTGACGCCTGCACGTAGGGGATGCTATAATTGACATTTCCCATCTTTTTCTTCTTCAATTGAATTTGTAATTGTTATTGACAAAGTCTGTTTATGTCAAGTTAATCACTGTAGTGCTTAGAATATAGACATTTAGATTTATTTTCTGAGGTTGTAGCTAGGACTCAATTAAAATGTTTATTCACATATGATTAGGTTAATTTTACTAAGAACATAAAGTTCATAAAACCTAATTAAAATGAGTACAGGTTACTTGTAGCAACCCATAAATACGTTACCTGTACCAAGAAAAGTAGGTTTATATAACTGAGTAATACTAGTACTATTAGTTAACTCAACTTGATTTTGTTGCGTTTGTATTAAGTAATGTTACAGTGTTTATTATACTTAAAAAAGGCTGCAAGTTGACTCAACTTAAAACATCCAATGCAGCCACTTGCCTCACTTTTTATAAGTTAGATCTAGGTATTACTTTTTACAGTGTGGTCCATTGAATTATTAGGCTTCTTTGACTTGAAGTGGATCATCACCATCAGACTGATCGTTGTGTGACCTCATTGTACTGCAAGAGCTATAGAGAGCAGATGGCTCCTTACACTGTTTTGCTCAGTTTTGCCAATGAAAAAAAGACAGTCTAAAATAACACAATATTAACTTCTTACTGAACTGTTGTATAAGGACAGTATCACATTTGCACTCGTGTGATATTGCACTTAGCCTATTGCTCGTGTGATATTTCTTAACTATATGATGTAAATATGAGACAAAAACATTTTTAATCAAGCCAGATACTAGGTTTCCATTAACCATGGTATAAATATTGGGGTACCTTCCCCCATCCCCCCACAGACTATGCCCCTGGAGAATAGTTTTCCATCTAAATTGTTACCGTACATTTTAACTGTAGCCCCTAGCTATAGCATTTGCCAGCATTACCTTGCTAAATGGCTTGCATGATTAAAAAATGAACAATGATACACATACCTTTGTTTTTCGCAACACAGGTTTTTAATTGTGTTTTTCTGTACATTTTTAAAAACAACTCTCTGAAGACTTTGACATGGTAATGGACATGACAATGGTAATGTATTTGGTCTTGGTGTAATAGGTCTGCTACGCTGCTGCTGAATTGCTGCTGCCATGGATATTGCTGTAGTTGTAGATTATTTACAGGAACTGCAAATGCATACGCGCATATGGTGCTGTGAGTATTTAAGACATACTGCTGCTGCACATATAGCATATAAAGTAATCCGTCGCAGATCTATAGGTGGAGCTTGGGAAGTTGGAACTCTGAAAGTGAGCTGCAAAATGCTCAAGTGAATGCTAACAAGGCATTTAAATGTAAAGCAGAAAGCTCTTTGGCTGTGTGTACAACATGGACCAATCAGCTTGTGCCAAATCATTTAATGCAGTGAATATCATCAGTTTACGTTAAGGACCCATCAGCCTCCATCATCTAGAGCAGGGGTGGGCAAACTTGGCCCTTCCAGGCCACTTTCCTTCAGAGTTTAGCTCCAACCCTAATCAAACACACCTGAACCAGCTAATCTTTGTCTACAAGACTACTAGAAGGCTACAGGCAGGTGAGTTTTATCTGGGTTGGATCAAATCTCTGCAGGAAAGTGGCCTGGAAGGGCCAAGTTTGCCCATCACTGGTCTAGAGTTTCATGACAGAACTTGGCATTTATCAGGAAATGTAACTAATGTCATGGTGGATGTAATGGTATGCTGTGATATGGTATACGTTATGGCACACCGTCACATGCCACTAGTGTTATATATAGGTGTTATTTAGGTGTTTTGTTCTATCCTGTCCTGTTTTCGTTTTTTCCATATATGGGGATATATGCATGTCCGCTGATGCAGCAGTTTATATTTTCCACTCAGTGGCATGCATATATATTGACTTTTATTGTCCATTTCTTTGTCTCCTACTTTGTTGGGGGGTTATTTTATATATGTTATATGTGCAGCAGCAGTATTTCTTACTTGCTCACAGCAGCATGTCTGTGGACGTATTGGCAGTAACAAGTCTCGATACTTGCTCTGCTGCAGCCAAACACATTAACATTGCTATGTGTATTACCATGCATGTAGTTTACTCCGAGAGTTGTTGTGACAGAACTGATGATATGGGGATGTTTTGTATGTTGCATTAATGTTATGGTGTAAATTTACCAAATAACATGTAACTTCACTCATTACTTTAAAAAGTTATCTGATTAAATAGTGTGGTACATGTTATTCTTATTTTTAATAAAATCAACAACAAAATTGATCAACAACAACAAAAAATCATTTGGTGTGCATATTTTATTTTCTATAATATTTCTTGAAATAAGATAAATTAAAAAATTATTTCTGTTTGCCAGTGCCAGGTCCAACTTTTGTAAACACATTAGTAAGGTTCAAACTCAGGACATTGTGTTTGTCATCCTAATCTGTAGAAGTATTCTGATAATGAGGCCATAAACAGTGTTCTCGATTTATTCCTGGCTACCCTCAAAGCTCAAGGCTGTCATGAGCTGTTTCTCTGTTTATCTCTCTAAGCAGGGGCTACAAAGCTGCCATTAGAAGGTGATTGAGTGAGACCCCCAGCCTCCCTCCCATCACCTTGTGTATTCATGCTGTAGTGTGCAGAGGTCACCATCCCAACCTGAAATCATCTTTATGGCCTCCTGCACACTGTGGCTGTCAATAAAGTTCACTCTGAGTCCACTGTATTGGGACACTTCATGCTCTGTG